TCAAAATTCTTTCCTTTTTATTTTCTTTTTCTTCTTTTCTCTCTTCCCACCTTGTTCTTCATTTCTATCCCTTTTTGTTCCTGTTCCTGTCCTAATTTGAATTTCTTTTTTCTTTCTTTCTTTCTTTTTTTTTGGTACCAGGGATTGAACTCGGGTCCTTGTGCTTGTGAGGCAGGCAGCAGAACCATTGAGCTAAATCCCCAGCCCTGAATTTCTTATTTTCTTTTTTTTTTCTTTTCTTCTCTTGATTATCATCAGTTTTAAAAGGAAGTGATTACAGTCTCTAGCCTCCCTATTGCTGTTAGTTTGTTCTTTTCTTGTGTATATTTTGTTCTGTCTTCTCCTCTTCTCTTCAACAGCTTCCTACAGTTTGTGTGATCTTCCTGTGTCCTCTGACCTCACTTCTAACCTTTCTCCATCCTATCTATCCATTCCTCCCTCCCCAACTCCTTCTAAGTCCCCATCTGGAAGGGTAAAGTTGCTATATTGAAGAGTTTATTCACTATAAACATGTTTTGGGCTGGTCCTCGATTTTTATTTAATTCACACAGTTAAAGGTGATAGATTAATACGTACCACACATTGTTATTTTCTAAGCTGTGCTTGATGCTATTGTGTTGCTGATTGTATTACTTGGGCTAAGGTGTTGTGATTGATCTAGTCAGTTATACTTCCTGGTATAATGAAAATGAGATTGCCTCAGAGTCATCAGAGACTTAAAACCTAAAGACCAGCTGTATCTGGAAGATCAAAGTATTAACCCAGGAATTAAACCAAGGATAGTACCAATAGCAAAGATAGAAATGAGAAAACCTTTAAACAAGGCACAAACAAGGACTTCCAGCTCACCAAAGGTAAACTTTGGTGGGAGCGAGGTGGAAAAGTCTGACACTTAACTATCTGGACACTCTGAACCAACGACACAGGAAGTAACAAAACAGATAAATGAGGCTCTAGAAAAATTCAAAACAGAAATAATTTCCCAGATAACCATAGAGATGGTGAGGAGAATGAAAGGCATGATTAGAAACTCTAGAATAGAAACAGATTGAAAAAAATAATAGATGATCTCAGGACCATGATAAAAACCATGAATACCTAGCATAGGAAAGAAATGGAATCCATGAAACAGATTCGAACAGATATCCAGGAGATTAAAAACTATTGAAAGCATTCTCAGCAGAATGAGCAAATGTGAAGATAGAATTTCAGATGCAGAAAGGACTGCGGTCAGTGACCATGAAAAGAGAGATTTCTTAAAAACAGTAAGGAATCAGAAGAAATCTATCCAATAACTCCTAGATAATGCAAAGAAGAATAATATAAGACTGAGAGGAATCCATGAAGTAGCAGGAGTAAGTACCAATGATATAAAAAACTGTTCACAGAATTAATGACGGAAAACTTCCCAAACAGAGGGGAAGAATTTGACATAAAAAGTCAAAAGGGCTGGGGATGTAGCTCAGGGTGAAGGCCTTGAGTTCAATCCCCAGTACCGCAAAGGAAAGAAAGGAGGGGCGAGGGAGAGGAAGGAGAGGAGGAAGAAGAGGAGGAGGAACTATGCTGAGTGCCAGGGAATCCCTCAGGGAGTTTACCCAAAGGTTGGGGACAAATGATGACAGAGGTGTGGCAAATACCAGAGGGGAGAGGAGGTTTGGAGGAGTGGATTCCTGTGTGTGGTGTTCACCCCTGCCTTTTGCTCTCTGGCCCTCTTCTGAAGGAGTTAGACTCTCTACCTCGTTAGAGCTGGAGGGGGCCAGGAAGACCCACGATCTCTTCCGCATCACCACCCGAGCACCCTGTACATGCCTGCAAGGAAAGGTTGCCCGCTCTTCAGCCACAGGGTACAGGGGGCAGAGCCACCTCCTTGATGCCATCATTCCGACTCCAGAGCCCACCACTGTCAGCAAGGATAGGTCAACACCACTGTGCTGGGAGTGGCAGGTGAGTGAGGATGGAGGAGGAGCCTCTGGCGGCACCTTTGGTCATTCACCCTGCAACACGGGTGGAGGAGGAGAGGCACTTCCCGAGCAGGAGGTGCTTTACACGGAGCTGTTAGCTGGAGGCAAATCCACCTGCACAGAGAACTTAGGGCTCAGGCCTGGAGCCGTGAACTTGGGTTCTGTCTGTTTGCCCAATGGGGATAAAGTACCTGCTGCATGGATAGTACCGTCATGAGGCTCAAATGAGGTTACACACATAGGATGCGTGGTACTGTGCTTGGCTTTGGTGCCATTATTGTTGTCATAGCTACCGTCATTTTCCAGGAACAGTTGGCTTGTGTGTGTGGCCATCACACAGAAGTGGGACGGCTCTGTTTGAGATGAGTCCTTTAACTTTCACATTAAATAATTGGGTTTGTACCTTTGCTATCCATGACTGTCTATCTGGCCACTGTGTCTGGGTGTTGTGTTGTTGTCACAAAGAAAAAGGCCTGTTCTGGCTCCCTCTGAGGAAGATGGCTTCGTGACGACACAGAGAACAGGACTGTGGTTGGCACTGGCGGAGGCTGAGGTCTTCCCACCCATCCCTTCCTTGGCAATCCTGTCGTTTCCTGCGGTGTCTGCCTACAGGGTCCACATGCAGTGTTCCTTCCTGTTCCCACTGCTCCGGCCTTAGGCGGGCACGTGGCCTATCATTACAGTGACCCAGATCTGTCGAAGGCCCTGCAGCTCAGTGTCCTTGTCTGACCAGCATGGTCTCGGTTTCCTACTCCCTAAGAACTCTCCTAGGCCCAGCTCACTCTGCTGAGCCTGGCTATAGATAGACATCGAGGGTCATTCTTTCCCCAGCCCCTGAAGGGGCTGTCTTTGGGTCAGGTACCCAACTGGTCAGGTGGCTGTTAGGGCCAAAAGGGCCCAGACAATGGGGGCAAGGGCAGAATCTCTTAAGGAGAGGTTGAGATTTTCTGGAATGGTGTTAATGTCAGTTCTTGGTAATTTGGACTAGAAAAGTACTGCATTTATCAAAATTCATCCAAAGGTATTTGTAACATAAGTAAGTGCATTTTACACACACACACACACACACACACACACACACACACACACACACTATAAGCACATATTAGGCAATTATAGTTAACGACATGCACGCTGAAGTATTTGAGTGAAGTATACTGAGGTGCCCAGCTTCCTTAGAAATGCACCATCAAATTAAGATGGATTGATTGACAAATGAAAGGACAGATAGAGGGATATATATATATATATATAAATAAATGTAAGCAAATATAGCAAAACAGTGTTAGAAAATCTAGGTGCATGTTTACTGTATGATTCTTTAACTTCTCGATACACTGAACATTTTCTATAATAAAATGTAAACATATTAATAAAGAAAGGGAGTTTGATCAGGCAGGCAACAGCATGTCAACAGTCTGCCCTTTTCCCAGTCAAAATCACAGGACACTTGTGCCCTAGGCCCCTTCTGAATGCTGGGCATCTCTGCGGCCAGTGCCTCACTCCAAGAGCTGAGACAAGTTACGAGCAATCAGGAGTAATCAGGAGTCTCTCACTGCTCCTGGTTTTCCCAATCAAGTCCCCCATTAAGCCTGGTCAGTGGGATATGGTGTGACTTTCCTGACTGTGATTTATGATTTTGCCTAGCTCTGTAGTTTTGTACCTTTGGATCGCACCCTTTCCTCCCGTTTACATCAACATCACCGCGGAAAAATCCTGCGGGTGAAATCCCATGAGCTCCTGAGGGCAGAGGCCTCTGCTCGGGTTGCTGGTCTGCCCAGCCCGGGGCCTGCTAGTCAGGTGCTGTAAATGTGAATGTGAATCAGCTCACAGCGCAAGGGGCAATGAACTGTGGGCTTCAGTGTTGGAAGCCGTTTTGCTCTCTTGGCTAATTAGAAAGCTTTCTTTTGGCAAACAGTGAGGACTAACCCGTGCACAGCGCTTCCCTTTTGGTGCAGCTAGAAATCCAATCTAGCAGTGACAGCTGCTGCAGGAGCCTGGGCTCCTTCCCTGGCTGTGGGAAGGGTATTTGTTCCTTCTTTTTTTCTGTCTCTGGAGTTGTCTTCCCATAGCTAATGCTACAAAGAATACATAATAAGTAAATGAATAAAAATAACCAAGTCCAGCACCTCCATTTTGCTGGTAAAAAAAACTGACTCAGGGAAGTCAAGTGACTTGTCCAAAGGCAAACAGCAACCCGCTGGGTAGCAAAGCCACCCAGCTCCTGCCTTCCCTCCACAGTTCTTTCTCCTAGAACACACTGCCTCTCGTGTTCCAGTCTGAGGTGAAAACGGCGGAAATATTTCAACTGCCTGTAAGTAAAATGTGCTAACCCAAACTGCAGGGATCAACTCCAGTAGAGAATTCTCCACTTGGTCCTATCCAAGCATTTAGTGACTAGATCTGAGGACTCAGAGGAACCCCCATAGTACCGGGAGCTCTGAATTCTCCCTGAAGTCTCCTGAGTCCTCAAAGACTGGTGTTAAGAGCACCAAATGTTTCTTGCGCTCAGGAGGCCCCCAAGTCCAAATCCCCAGCAGCTGCTGCTGACCCGGAGCCCTTGCACACTGCCTTCCAGCAGGGAAGGCCCCGTGGATGCCGAGGTGTGACCTGGAAGGCCTCCTAGAGGACATGCAGGTCAGGAGAGAGCAATGCTTGTTTGAGGTCACAGCTCATCTCATTCAAGAGATTAGGGCTGAAATCCAGGCCTCCCAGCCTCTGAGCCGCAACACTTCCTGCTACACCACGCTGCCTCTTTAAAAAGCCACAGGACATTTGTTCTGCGTTAAGGCAAACCAGAAGCAGTTGGAACAGATTGATAGCCAGTTGCAAGGAAACCTCTAAGGTAGTTGGTGGTGAGTGGGTGTTAGTGGGGGTGCCGCCCAACCAACCCCAGCGACATGCCAGGCCCACACAAGTTGACACCCGTGGCAATAACCCCAGCACAGTGCGCCCCCAGCCCCGGCACCTCTCCGGGTCTCGTGGCACTGAATGAGATCATGGGGCCTGGCGAGCCACGGCCCCAGACCTCACTAGTTTACCATCTGCAGGCACTCAGTGATAATGAGATTCAGGGGACCTTCACAGGGCGCATCCTCAGGCTCCGGAAGGTCTCAGTCAGCCCAGAACTTGTCAGTCTCTACAGAATCAGCAGCGTCTGGAAAGTCGGTAGGTAGAGAATGAGAGACCACCCCTGTGGCCAGGGCCCCGTCAGGTCTAAGGCTGGTGGACATTGTCTTCAGTGCCGGCCAGGGGGGCTTTGGTTTCCTTTCTGGGTGTTGAGAGATACTGGGGTGCTAGACGCCTGAAGAGGCTCAGGATGTCCTAGCCAGGGTGCAAGTCATCACTTCGATGGAACCCCTGAGGCTTGGACTTGTGAAAGGTCCAGCAGGGCCCTCTTGCAGTCTCTGGGTGCAGTGAGTCACGGAGGAGGGTGTCTTGCTGAGAGCCAGGCTGCCTGGGTCTCTGTGGCTGGTACCTCTGAAGGCTTCACCTTGAGGTGGGTTCAGACTCCACACGCTTTATCCTCCTGGGGAGGTACCCTCTGAGGTAAGAGACAACGCCCTTCAAGGAAACCCGGTTCTCTCAGGAAGGGAAGTGGAATTTAGGTTGCCCAAGACAAAGGTTGCCCCCCACACCAGTGTGGAAATTTTGCCCAGTTATTTTTGTTACTTAATTTAATATAAATATGTGCTTTGCTGGTCCATATCAGCAGTCTAATATGTGAGCTGTTAGAAGTGAGGGATAACTGCTGGGCGTGGTGGCACTCGCCTGTAAACCCAGCACTCGGGAGGCTGAGGCAGGAGGATCACTGTGAGTTCGAGACCAGCCTGGGCTACATAGTGATTCTAGGTCAGTCTCAACTACATAGTGAGACCCTGTCTCAAAAAACAACAACAACAATAAAAGTGAGGGCTAAAAATAAAGAGCAAAATAAAAGATAGATGGTGGAAAGTAGGGAGATAGATCTTTCTCAAAGGGAAGGGGAATCAAGGCGTGGAGGGAGGGAAGGAATAAAGGATGGAAAAGAGGAATTAAGATGTGTTATGTACCTGGACCAACTTTTCACAAGGAATGTGTGTTAGGTACCATGCACGTGTGCTCAGAAACTAAATTTTAAAAAGATTGCTATGATATTAAAGAAGAAAAGAAAAATCAGTTTCTGGGAATTGAGTAGTCAAACTGAATTTTAATTTCACATGGTTTCACTTATTTTTTTATTGTATACATACATTTATTAAGTTAAAAATTACTGATATTTTATCACCTGGGGGGAAAAAAAAAAAGGAACTGAGGTGTGCTAGGAGCGACAGCCATGTCTCTGACCTCAATAGGGATCCTGGGAGGCGGCTGTTCTTTCACCGAATCGGCCACTCCCAGGAGAAGGAGCCTTTGGCTCGGGAAACCAACGTCTTGGATGGGTTTTCAGCCCACAGGAAGGTGGGGGAGAAGCAAGCTCTCCCAGGCCATTGGGAATTGAACCCAGGCTAGTTGCGGCTGGGAGCAGCTCTGCTGGGAAGATTCCAGAATCGTCTGTCTGGGTGCCTACCAGGAGGAGCAGAGACAAAGTTTCACTGTTGATGATTTGAAACTGACAGAAGCAAATGGAAAGGTTATAGAAGCAGTAAGGCTGTCACTGACTCTGGATGCTAGGGGGAGAGCAGTTGAAAGGTCCACATTAAGAATGTGGTCCTTGAAAGTCGTTTCCTGCGCTCAGATGGCTCAGGAAAATCGCTGTGTGCCTCACCTCTGGGCTTGGAACAAGATCTATACCTGAGTAGTAATGGTCCCAGCAACTGAGGAGCCCTTGAAAATGAGGGTGGAGAACAGAAATGCTCTGTCAGCCCTCCCTGAAAGAAGTGAATGGCAGAACCTTCCGTCTGGGTCCTATGACGGACCGTAGTTGAACCGTGTTGGAGGAAGCTGCCCACCTGGGAAGCCCCCCCAGGTTTCAGGACCCACACAGCTACCTTTGCACATGTGGTTCTTGGGGACACTGCAGCCCACGGGACAGGAAAGAGGGGGAGACCTTCCGGTGGAGGAGGCTTCCAGGCCCACCCAGCTCCGTGAGCCTCTTCATACTTCAATCCTCAACTTCAGTGGCCTTTACCTTAGGGATAAGGGGTAAGGAGGGTACTTTCTGGAAGAATTGGTCTTTCTTTTTTGCTAAGACTTAATACTTTAAGATTTTACATAGGAACATTTGAGGTGGTTCCCAAACCCTCCTGGGGGCTTGGCTGACTCCTCCTCTCTACACAGGGGGCGACCCAGGAGGACAAGCTGTGCAGACCGCTGGCTTGATGAGGACCCTGTCCAGTGAGCCCCAGACTCCGGGTCAGGACTGTAGGGGGCGCTGCTGCCACTGATGAGCACCCAGCCCTGCCTTTGAGCCTGGCCTGCCAGGCCTTCCTCCTGCAACTGCTGACCACCATGAACAAAGGCTCAGGAGGAGAGTGAGGGTTGGCAGGGCAGCCCTCAGCTTCCCGGAAGTCCAAGTCTGTGGAACGGAAGTCCGGAAGCCTGGGTTTCAGTCCTCTACTAGCCTTGAATCCTCCCTTCATGCCCTCGGATTCTTCATCTGTAAAATGGGTATAGTGTTAATATTCACACACTGACCCAGTGAGCGCTCAGATGAGGTGGTGCATCATTGCAGGAAATGATATCGTCACTGTCGTGGGTACACCAAGTTCTGTAATCGATGTGATCCCAAAGCACTGCTGATTTGAGAGGGGTTCATATACCCCTCCTAGGCACAGACCTGAAAGGCCTTGTGGGTCCCTCTCAAGACAAGAACCAAGGCAGGAAAGTGGAACTAAGAGTGGGTTTGTCTGCTTCAGTGCAAGCTTAATAGTAGTTGCTAATTATGCAGCAGTTATTCTGTGCCCAAGTGTGGTGAGCATTTTTCGTGCCAGATGTTTTTCTTCTCCCAGAATCCCTGTGGGATAGGTCCACTAGGGCACAGAGAAGTTAAGTAACTTGCCTGAGGCCACACAGCTTTATAAGGGGCTGAGTGAAGTTGTTTCATTACTGAATTGGTACCCTTAGCTGGCAGGCCAGACCACCTCCTCCTTCACTGTTATCACCTCTGTTCTGAATCAGAGGATAAAGGGGGGTCGGCTGCTTCATTATGCTGCCCCACTGGACTGTGCTCCTCTTGGGAGAAGAGACCAGGGCACCACCTCGGAGCTGGAGCAGAGGGGATGCACCAGGCTGCTTGGGGCTCAGCCCCCATGTCCTCAAGACGCCAGAGGCTCCCTCCATTCCCTTGGCTGATGGCTGTAGAAGGTCCTTCTCTATGCCTAGCCTGCTCCAGCCTCCTGCCTCAAACTGACTCTTTCTCTGTTCTCTTTCTCCATCCCACCCTTCACAACCTTTCCTGTCCCAAACTCACTGCCTTAAAGCTCCTTAGTCTAGGGAGGTAGGTTTCCCATTGCCCTTGGGGTTTGCAGGGCACCCTGAGGAGAGGCGAGCGGATGCCTCCTGGGGACAGTGGCAAGAGTCCCCTTGGCCCCTTACAGGGTGCTGGCAGGTGGGCCTACTGGAGGGTCAGATCCTAGTACCAACAGCAAAGCACATTCAGTTCATCTTCCTCTAAAAGTACTGCCCTTCCTTACTGAGCTGCAGTAAGACATGGCTGTAGGCAATGAGAAAATTAGGTAGAAGACAACTGCGTTCATCTGTTAAGCTGTAAGTATGTGCCGGGAACCTGTGCTGAGCACCCTGGGCATCTTCCAGCAGCTAATTCTCACACCTTCAGGCAGCTGTACTTTTCAACCCATTTTACAGTCGAGGAAGCTGAGGCTTAAGGATCTTGCCACTGGTCCAGGGGCCAAATTGTTAGAGGAGCCAGGATTAAAGCTTGTTCTGTCTTCCCCCAAACTTGGCTCTAAATTCCTCAGCACACAGCCTTACTGTCTTGCAGAGAAGCCCAGGCATGTGGGGATTGCATTGACTTCTCTCTACTTGTCTCATTTTTTAATGTCTAAACCAGACGGAAAAGGGATTCTTTATGACTGCCCTGGCTTGGCTGTTTTCTTCCTGAGCATTGCAAAATACAATTGGACAAATCTAAGCCATTTGTGTCAATTAAATAGTGGTTTTCTCTCTGGCAAGCATTTATGCAGCACTGATTCTGTATCAGGCCCTTTGTATTAGTTGTTTTTATTTAGTTCTCATGCCAACCTGCACTGGGTGATGTTACTTTAAAATGGTTCAATATGGTGGTTAAGCATTTGGCCCTTAAAATCTGACTTCCTCTTACCCTGCTGGCCGATATGATCATGGGCAAGTCTCTTCATCTAGTTCCTTATTTGCAAAATGATTATGACCATAGGAAAGTTTAAAGAAGGCACAAGTGGGCTAACATAGGTAAAGTTCTTGGATCAGTGCCTGGCATCATGATAGCCTTCGTTATTGTCAGGACACTTTACATACAAGGACATTAGAAAGTAAAAAACAAAAACAACAAAAAACGAAGAGAAAAGAAGGATAAACTGGAAACAAAGATTTGTAAATAAGCGTTGAAGAGAGGGGAGGGGAATGGGTAAAAAAGAAGAATCACGCTATGTCACGAGCAGGTACAATTCCCTATGGTGAATGCCTTCATTATGTATATCTAAAATGTACCAATAAACTTAATTAATTAAAAAATAAATTCAGGGCCAGGGATTTAGCTTAGTGGTTCGGCTGCCTGCCTTTCAAGCACAAAGACCCAGGTTCGATTCCCAGTACCCCCCCAAAATTTTTTTAAATTACTAGTATGACTTTGAAAAAGTTCAAATGCCAAAGCAAGACGAAACAAAGTTGCCCGGATACATAGGGAGAGCTGGCACTTTAAGCCAGTGAGTCGAAAGCCAGGACCTATACTCTTCATCACTCTCGCCTCATAGTAGCTCCGATTCCTTCATTTTTTTAATTCTGTAAACACTTGAGGTGTAACTTGCATACCATAAAACTCAATGATTTTTTTTAAAATTGGGGCTCGAACTTAGGACCTTGTGCTTATGAGGCAGGTGCAACGCCGCTGAGCTAAATCCCCAGTCCCAAACCCACTGCTTTTAAGTACAACTTTTACTAAATTTACAGTTGTGCAACCATCACCATAATCAGGACGAGAAAATTTCCATTATCTCCAGAGGGTCCCCCACGCCTGCGTGCTTGTGATCACA